TTTATCAAACAATATAGACTCCCATTAGCGTCATATGATGGTCTACAAGACATCATTCAGAATTTAAAGGAAAGGGGCATTATACGTCCAGTGCACAGTTCGTATAATAATCCAATCTTGGGGATTCTGAAACCTAATGGACAATGGCGTTTATGCGCTGACTTACGACAGCTAAATAAACGCGTCTATATGTCTGGTTGGCCAACGCCATACATAGACCAATGTTTGGTACAAATGCAGGGATCCAAAATATTCACTGCCATTGACTGTGCGCAGGGATATTGGACTGTACCAGTCCATAATGAAGACCAATACAAATTGGCCTTCACATTTGGAAAGCAGCAGTATACCTGGACCCGTATGCCTTTCGGTTATATAAACTCTGGTCATGAATTCGCTGTGTTCATGCATAAAGCTATGCCTGACGCACTTGAGAGAGGAACGTTATCATATGTCGACGATGTCTTGCTGAAAAGCACCTCCTTTGATAAGCATATCTTAGAGATTAGACATGTTCTCACTCAGTTAAGAGAGGCAGGGATTAAACTGTCTTTACAAAAGGCGCAATGGTGTCGCACCCATGTCAATTTCCTCGGACATGAGGTAACTTCTGAAGGATTAAATCCCCAGAGGAAGAAGGTTGAAGCCGTAATTAAGGCTAAAACACCTTCAAACATCAGGGAATTAAGATCGTTCCTTGGTATGACTAACTACTCCCGTAAGTTTATAGATAACTATGCAGAAATAACTAAACCACTCTTACACCTGCTTAAAAAGGAAACTACCTGGAACTGGGGGGAGCCTCAGGACCAAGCGGTAAGTGAACTGAGGAGGAAGCTCACTCAGGCACCCTGTTTAGCATACCCAGAGGGGGGTAAACCTTTCTATCTGGAGACAGGATATACCGATTTAAGCATAAGTGCTGTTCTGTATCAGAAGCAGGACAGTTTAAACAAAGTTATTGCATATGCTAGCAAGATTTTGTCACCTGTTGAAGTTAAATTCAACACGTGTGAGAAGGCGTTATTGTCGACTGTATGGGCACTACAAAATTTTCGTAGCTATATCCAAGGTGAGAAAATAATTGTAGAAACAGCTCACCAACCTCTACAGTATCTGCAGAGTGAAAGAATTAGAGACGGTAATCTCTCTAACAGTCGGATTACTGCATGGACTCTATCCTTACAGGGATGGCCGTTAGAAGTCCGTTATAAACATAATAAGAGAAGCACAGTTGCCCAAGATTAAGCAGAATTACATGACTGTACTGCTCCATCTCTGGATGATAATGACACCGGAGATGATTTCCTAGAAGAGCAATTGCTATCTCCTTATAAAGTTTATGACGAGGAATACTGTCGACCACTACCGTGGGTATACATTGATGGTTGTTCATATCACCACGTCGTTGGTGCTGAACGGAAGTTAGTTGCAGGTATCGGAATCGCCTGGACAGGTGATTATCCTAATGTATCTATAGGATACAATATTGGTCCCAAAAGCAGTCAGATAGCCGAACTCTGTGCAGTATATAAGACCATTCAAATGGCAATAGAATATAGTATCAAAGAATTTGTTATTATAACTGATTCCAACTATGTTCGCAACAGTTTCGTCGAATATCTGCCTAGCTGGAAACGTAACCAAATGCTGAAAAGCAATAACAAACCTGTTAAACATGGGAAATTGTTTTGTAAAATTGATGAACTGGTTAAGGAAAATGGTTTAACCATATGTTGGAAGAAAACCAAAGGCCATTCTAAAATAGAAGGTATTGACAAGGATGGTAATGACTTAGCCGATTCACTGGCAAAACAAGCTGCCATCGATGGTGAAACCCTAAACATTGATGATCTTGTGGGTTCAATTCATGTTGAAGCCATAACTAGACGACAGGCTAGAGATAATGCCGACTTAAACGTCGTGCAATGGAGCCAAGAAGCTCCTAATCAGGACCTGATTACCAGTCAAAAGAATGATCCCGTCATAGGCATATTCTATAAACATATAGAAGACCCTACTGCCAATCCCATCACAGATGAGGATTGCAAAAATAATGAAGATTTACGAATCTTGATGAGATATAAAGTCCAATTTAGTATCATGGATGGGTTACTGGTCAGAACTTCTAAACATGGTATACAACAATGGGTAGTCCCAACTGTATACAGAGGGTTAATGCTCCAACACGCACATGATGCACCTACATCTGGGCATCGTGGTGATAAGATCACATATGAGATATTGCGTGATTATGCATATTGGCCACACATGTTAAGGGATGTTAAGACATACTGTCAGGGATGCTTGATTTGTCCGCAATATCAACCCCATGGTCCAACCCATCGTGCACCACTTCAGAAGAGGGGGTGTCATTACCCTGGTCTGATATTCAAATTGACTTTATAGGTCCTGTAACAAGATCTTCAAGAGGTAACAAATACATGTTAACTGTTACATGTATGTACACAAAGTGGATAGAGTGTTTGCCTTGTAAAGAGAACACGAGTACCGTGTGCGCCACTTTGTTGATTAACCATGTCTTTTCCAGGTTCGGTCTGCCTCAAAGAATTGAGTCAGACAGAGGTAGTCATTTTACCAGCGAAGTAATGGCTAAGATGTGAAACATTCTAGGTGTTAAACGAAAGCTACATATTGCATACCGCGCTGCGTCTAGCGGGGGGGTAGAGCGATATAACCAGTCTATCGTTAATATTCTAAATAAATATGTTAAGGAGTCTGGTAAAGACTGGGACATTAAATTGCCCCTAGTTTTAATGGCGATTAGAGCCACACCTAGCACTGCTACCAAATTGTCACCTTTTGAATTGATGACAGGAAGTAAGATGGTTTTACCACAGCATTTACTATATCGTACTTCGGATCATAACTTGATCAATGCTGCCACTACGCATCAGTATATCGAAGATTTGCGCAAGCATTTACAGCATGCATTTGCTTTTGCCCAAAAGAATCTAGAAAAAGCAGCGACAGGGGTTAAGACCTATTACGATTTAAAAACCACGAAAAAGGAATATGAGATAACAGATCAAGTCTATCTGTATAACTTTGCGCGAAATCAAGTCAAGGAAAAGAAATTTTTACCTTCTTGGAAAGGGCCATATGTCATTATTGACAAAATTTCCCCAGTAGCGTACAAGATAAAAATTCCTAAGGATGGTGATTTTATTGAAAAGTGGGTTCACATTAACCAGTTGCGTGCTTGTCATCCTAAATCTCAATTAAGGATTATAGGTGTGGATTCAGACGCAGAAGGGTGAACGACTAACCTGGATGAATGCTTGATTCACGTGGTATAGTATGATGTGAAATGTTGTGATGTGCCATGATCTCATGTACGTTCATGTCATTAACCATTTACTTGCCATCCAATAACTACATTTTATAAGCAGGTTACTAGCTTGTTTAAATGCCATAGGCAAATTGCTGAAGAGTCAGTAATAAATGTAGTGAGGGATGAAGTTATAAAAATAGAATTAGACAGAATACATATGTTGATGAATCGTAATAATGTGTTGTCCTAGGCCAAGTGATGTCACACTGTTATAAGTTTGTATGCTTAACAAACCTTGAATCATTAGTAGATAAGCCTGAAACGAGTTCCTGATCCGTGACTGTCGAAAGATGTCCAAGAAGGATGTGGCGTGTTTCTGGATCGTACTGCTCCTGTGCCAAGAGCTACGGACCGACCCGATCGCAGAGATGGGACCATCCTCCGGCATCCTGATTCAAGAGACACCAGGGTTCATCTTGACCGAGAAGAGGATCCTGACCCGACGTGTGTTCGTCAGCTTGGACCCCAAGATTTCCATCGAGAAGGCATACAACATTTCATCGATGCAGCTTCCTGAGTTACAGACTTGGTACCAGATGCACCTCCAAAGAGCACAGGACCGTGTGCGAAACATCTTGGAGCAAGCCCGGAAACCATTTGTATCCAGTTCTATTCCGATGAGCAACCGACCCAAAAGGTTCCTCACCGCTATAATTGTTGCATTAGTTTGTGCCACTGTCGGTGCAGTTGTCGCAACTGGAATGTCTGCAGCCAACTCTATTACTGTCCAAAAGCTGGATATGGAAATCTATGCGCTAAAGCAACACATTAACGATATTCATCAGGTGATACAACAGCAAAGAACACTTCTCCAAGACGTGTTAACTATTGTGGAAGACACAGTTGTTACAACAAGTTTGCATTCGGAGTTAATTGCCAAATCCACTGAGTTGCACCAAAGTCATGACTTATTTAAGCGTGAACTTCTATTTCTGCATGACCCAATATTGTTCCACACACTTGCTTTTCTTGACGAAGTGCAAACTGGAATGATCGAATTGGCAGGGGGACGCATACCTCTGTATTTTGTATCCAAGGATATTGTTCATGCGATGCTTGCCAATATGGATGGAGAGACAATTGAGCCTATGCAATTAAATCTGGACTTTGAGATGGGGAGCGCTATACCTCTCTAAATTGATCCGGAACGTATGGAGATTTGCTTTTTATTGGCCATACCATATGTAACTCCCAAAGACATTTTTCAAATGAAAATAATGTACTATGTAATAATGATATTATGGTTGATTGTACTAAGTGTAAAGTTCAAAATTTTTACAGGTACAAATATATACAAAAATGTTCATTCCACGCACGGGCCTATGTTAGAAATGATGTGATTGCACAATATGTCTGGTAACTTCTATAGTGCTTATTCATAAGCTAAATTAATTTTGACTATGAAATGCACTAAAGGGGGGTTATGTCAGAGTATTTATATCGGCAGACATTTTGTGCTATGATAGAAACTAAAAGTGTATATTCTGAGTCACTCTGAACAGACCAGACTCCATTTTGTTATTTCAAATAACAAAGAAGACACTAGATTTCTTTCTGTAAGACTGGCCTCTTTGCCAGAGCTAAGGAATGTATAGCGTAGTATAAACAAGTGATAAGAAGAATATAATCAAATCTAAACCCAGACAATTGTGACAGAGAAGATTAAATAATAAAATTTAACTGTCTATATACATATAAGGTACCATTGTATGGAAAAGGGTAAACTTAGTTAATGATCTGTCATATCAGAAATTATGGCAGGAATTGCAGACGCTAAGTCTGGACAAAACTTTAAGAAACCCTTTGAAATCTGAATTATGACCACTATCTAGATAGGCCAAAATGACGTCAAAATAGCCACCAGGACAAGAATGCCCTCTATAGACCAAATACCTAATTTGCGATCTGGAAGATAACCACACCTCTAGTGCTTCTATTGGGTTATCAACTGATGACGTACAGAGAGTTTGGCCCTTTAAAAGTTAAGACAAAGGGAAGATAGGGAGATAGGAGGCAGATGCAGGACATATGCAAAGGAGAGGAGAGAGGAATTGGAAGTTTGGGGACTCCAACTCGGACAACATCTGAGACTAATACTCTACTCCTAAAACTCTAACACTTAGAATTTACTGACTTTCACCAACACCTCCATGCAGAGAGACATCCAAATAAGTTCCTGAGACTGTTTACCAATCGGATGAAATATCTACTCAACTGGTAATTATACTGGTTTCATTTAATTAATTAAATTAATTAAAATGTATTAATAGCATTATATATGACTGGATAAAGCACGGTCAGATTTCCATATTAAGAAATCTTAGTTAACTAAGAATATATAGTTATAAACATTCCATTCTGCAGGTGGAATTAAGAATAATTATATATTGATGTGATATTATCACGTGTTAGCATACCGCTGTTTTTATCCAGGTGTATTGATTTGCTCTAATTTAAGATAGATATCTTTTAGACAAATTAAAAATCTGCTTATATAATATATTAGATTCTCTTATTGGATGATTTTCAGGAAATGACTAATGAACTGGATTAAATGTTATTTTATTTAAAATTACATCAGAATAGATCTTAACTACCTAGGAGATCTAGCCAGCATTGAAAGGGTTATTCTAACTGTCTGCTAAACTTTACGACCTTACGCTGCACTCTGAGGAATTCTGTTCTTCGCTGTGAAAAGTTTCACTTAAGTCTGTGTTAAGGATACCTCATAAATCGTCAGAATTCTTGACAGAAAATGCTAGTTAGTCATTGAAACGTAATACCCATTCCTTTGTATTGCATACCATTTTATACTGGATATTCATTGATTATTGTCATGCATGTTACATAATATTATTTGTTAATTATTGGTTATCATAAATAAAATCTATTTTTATACATTGTGATTATTTATATGAAATACTTTCCACTTAACACGATAAACGTTCTTTGGGATCTGAGAATTGAATTAGTGGGCAATTCTCAACTGTTTACTATTATTATCCCATAAATATCCCCACAGGGGAGAGATCAGGAGAGGACAGGTAGATTTGCGTGTCATCTGCATAGAAATGATACTGGAAGCCAAAGGAGCTAATGAGTTTACCAAGGGAGGCAGTATAGATGGAGAACAGTAGGGGACCAAGGACTGAACCTTGGGGGAAACCAACAGAGAGGAGTTGGGGAGAAGAAGCAGAGCCAGCGAAAGAAACACTGAAAGAGCGCTGGGAGAGGTAGGAGGAGCACCAGGAGAGAGCAATATCTTGTAGACCGATACTGCGGAGGATGAGAAGAAGCTGTTGATGATCAACAGTGTCAAAAGCCGAAGACAAGTCAAGGAGAATTAGGATAGTGTAGTGACCACGAGATTTTGCAGCGAGTAGATCATTGGATACTTTGGTCAGTGCTGTTTCCACAGAGTGCTTAGCGTGGAAACCAGACTGAAACGGGTCTAGCAGAGAGTTGGACTCGAGGAAGTCTGTCAATCTCACATACACAATTCTTTCAATGATCTTGGATGCAAAAGGCAGTAGCGAGATAGGACGATAGTTGGATGGGGAGTTAGGGTCAAGATTGGGCTTCTTTAGAATTGGGGTTACAGTTGCATGTTTGAAGGGCGATGGAAATATACCAGAGGAGAGAGAGAGATTGAGAATTTTAATGAGAGGTGGAGAAAGAGAAGAGGACAGAGTATGGCTGAGATGCGAGGGAATTGGATCTATGGAGCAGGTGGTGGGGTGGGAGGACTGGAGCAGAGCAGAAACCTCTTCCAATGTAGTGGGTGCGAATGAACATAGAACAGCAGAGGGAGTGAAGTTAGGGGAAGTATTGTAAGGGGAAGAAGAAAGATGAGAGATCTCTTCTCTGATTGTAGCGATCTTGTCAGTGAAGTGAGTTGCAAAGTCTGAGGCGGTCAAGTTAGTAGGTGGAGGAGGAACAGCAGGGCTAAGAAGAGAGTTAAATGTTTGAAATAGTCATTTGGGTTCGCGGGAGAGTGTGGTTATGAGGGTATTGACGTAATTAACTTTTGCAGAGGAAAGAGCCAAGCTGTATGAGCTCAGCATAAATTTATAGTGGAGAAAGTCAGCTGCACAGTGAGACTTTCTCCAACAGCATTCAGCAGCTCTGGAGCATTTTTGGAGGTATCGAGTGAGCTTGGTGTGCCAGGGCTGTTGTTGGGGGCGCGTGCGGTGTTTAAATGTACAAGGATGATCATAAAAAGTGTAGAAGAAATTAACAGATCAGAATTACTTAGATATAAGGAAAAAAAAAGAGACGTCAAAATCTAATCAAATTCCTTTTATTTTCAATTATTCAAGCAATATAGGCATCCTTAAAAAGGTTATTAACAAAAATTGGCACATTCTCCAGCAAGAACATGACATTCAAGAGTTTTTAGGCCATAAACCGAAATTTGTTTTTAGAGGTGCTAGAAATCTTAAACAAATTTTAACTTCTAGTTATATAAATGGTGAGGAAAAACATTAATTTTTAGAAGACTGGTCTAAAAAACAAAAGGGTTTTTTCATTGCGGAAATTGCAATGCTTGTAGAAATACCACTATCGATAAGAGAAAGAAAGAAACATTTATATAATCTATGACAAAAAAGCACTTCTCTGTGTCTTCTTTAATTTCATGTGAATCGAAAAATGTTGTTTACCTTTTAAAATGCAAATGTGGACTACAATATGTAGGTAACACCTCTAGATCTCTTAAAATCTGCATAAGTGAACACATTATGAATATAAAGAAAAGTTTTTTTAAATCATAGTGTATCCAAACATTTTTTTTGAAATGCACCAGTCTAATCCTAAAGATCTAGAATTCATGGCCATACAAAAAGTTTCAACCCATTGGAGAGGTGGCAATAATGCCTTAAATATTAGTAAAAAAGAGAGCTCCTGGATCTTTGACCTACAAACTTTATATCCAAAGAGGCTAAATATAGACTTCGATATTGGACCTATTCTTTAATAATTGCTTTCTCATTTTATTGGTATTTTTTTTATTATTATTTTTTATTTGGTTTTAATGATATGTATATCATACTACCAAAAAAATCTTCTTAACTGTTTTCATACGGGGTTTCTTGCTATAATGAATATATATTTCTTATCATGTCTATAAAGGTTTATATGTGTTTTTATTAGTATTTTTATTACTATTTGACTTAAGTCCTTTCATTAAGTTTATATTTACTTTTCTGCCCTTCTCCTTTTCCCCTCACTAATATGGTGATCGTGAGCAACATCAGCCCAATTATAGACAGATTTCGATGTGCCAATCATGATCCCTTAATAATAAAGGACTATATGAGGAAGATTTTACCTCCCCTTTAGATGACGGGAACTGGAAGTGACGTTCCGTTTCAATACCGGAAGTCACTTGACCGCACAAGAATGTCCGGACCGTACGGCCATGTTGAAAAGGTCAACTTACACACATCCACAGAATAAGGATCGCATGTCCACCATATTGATAGGGGAAGAAGAACTGTAATTTTCATATATGGACTTGTTTGGGCGGGTATTGTATCAATTGTACACATGTGTATTTTGTTTGTAATTCTTTGTACAAAGTATATAAACCTGTACCTATTTTTATTTCACCTGAGGAAGACCAGAGAGTGGTCGAAATGCGTTGTGCTAGTTTGTGCTATTTTTAATCTCTAAAATAAAGAGCAATCTTGCATTTTATTTTGGTTCCTGTATTTTCATCCAGACGAAAATTGATTTTTTCCTGGGGGACCTTCACCTCTACTATAACATCCAGACTGGAGTTGTCTACATGCTACCACAGTTTAGAGCTGACTTACATGGCTCTCTAGATTGTGAGTGCTCCAAGTTATGCTTTTATGTTAGATTTTATGCATATATCTTGCCCTTTGATGGTTTTCTATACAGCTTTTTATAGATCTAAATACTATTTATCCTTTGTGTGCGCAAATCTCCTTTTCTTGTATCCAATCCCATGCATGTAAGTGTTTTTTTAGGTGACTAAACACTGGCTTGGTTTTAGACGCACTGGGATATATCAATCGTACCTTTTATCTTATTTTTAGCGCCACTTACCCATTTTTCTGTTTTTGTAGGAATAAGGGGTTACCTTGTGGTATAATGCACATTACAAATTACAGAGAACCAAGGAGAGACTGGAGATACAAACAGGAACAGGCACCTTTGCCAATGAATGACTCCATCTTTCCTGATACGCTGGACACTGTCCGCGGGGGGGCAGGGCTGTATTGACAATAAATCAAGGTGTACACCTAGTAATATTACAGGTATAGCCTATGGTATATCTTGGGGCAGCGGAATACCCAGGATGAAATGGGGTTGTGGGCATGTCGATGAGAGTGTAACCCTGTATCAACTGGCAGCTTGCTAAGTGCAAGAAGAAATTAGCTGTACAAGGGGAAGGTGAAGCCTTGCTAAATGCCAAGTGGCTCAGAGAGGCTTTAGCTGTGATTTTGGCCAAGGGACTGAGACCACAGAAAGAAGTGGCACGAATGTTGGTCTCTCTGTGACAAGTAAGAGATTTAAATGAGTGGCCGTGACCGGTGAGGCCCTATCTTCTAACCTGAAGAGGTTGGAGCGAGGCTCTAGCTATGAGTTTGGCCAATTGGTGAATACCTCTGTGTGAGAATGGATTTTGGCCTTGAAGGATTGAATTATGAATATACTAGAAAATGGCCCACACCAAACCCTTTGTAGCCAGTTGATCTATCCCTAAGAAATGTAGGGGAATAGAAACATAATGGATTGATAGAGAGTATGTTGGAATGTATGTACCTTGCCCAACTAGTGAACTTGAGCTTGAGAAAGGATATCATAGAGATGAACCTAAAGACACAATGGGAATATGTCCAGGATGGT